CCAATGAAAAACAAATATTGATATTTTTCCCAAATGTTGAAGGTTACTTCAAAGGACAAGTCTGGCATTTTAACTTATCAAACCACCAATGCATGAAACTTTTTATTTGTATTAAATACATCTTGATATTTGTTCCCATTGTTATCTCAAAAATATTTTACACAACTTTGAAGGTTACTTTAAAAAATGAGGATAGAATATTCAATTTTATTTCTCAGAGCAATGCATTTTCCCAAAAAAAATGTAATCAACAATCAACATCCATTGCCAAGGGTAAAGATACCACTAACGTTAATATATCATGTTATTATTATCATTGAACCTTTAACACGATGTGACGAGTGTCACATCGTGATGTCACTATGTTAAGTTCAAAAACAAAAGAGTGAAAATAAAGTAATGTATTTTTCCTGTTCTATTCTTATGACAAATGCTTCCCCACCAATAAGAACTCCCTTTACCAAAGTGTCTCTTATACCCCAACTTCTCCTACAAACTGTAACCTAGGCTGTTCAAACTGAGCCGTATCAGTAAAGCTCCACCGCCAGTGCAGACAAATCCAAAGTCACACCCACTAAGCACCACTTCAAGTGGACTCAATACCGACAGCTTGGATTTATACAATGACACAAAAAGCCACACAATATCATGTGAAATCCTCCCATATAACCAGTGACCCAAGAACTGGGCCGATCAAAGCCAGCCCTGTTTATGTCCCTTTGATTTTTTTTTTCTTTCAGCCTTGTCGCTGATCTCATTGCAGCTTTTAGATAATGCTAATAGATCACAGGCCAACGGGACGGAGCAGGATAATGGAGCTTTCATTGCAGCCTGATTAACTTGGCTGTAGGGTTCCACCTCACCCCTTTCGGCATGATGGCCCTAATTAATAACGATTGCTCCCCAAAATGTGCAAATGGAACGATAAACGAAGGACCAACTAATTAACTGCAACCATTTCTACTAATCATTAGTTAACATCCCGTTTTGTCATCATTACACTGATGCGTGTGCAAGGGCAGATAAAACAGGTCAGCCCTTTTTTTTCCTGCCCTCCCATAAACCCTGACAGCCATATTTTCTTGCCCTATAAAAAGACTAACAAGTAATTAAAGTGAGGGGTTGAAGTTTCGGAAAGTTCCATTACTTCAATATTCCACTGTAAGCCAGGTGCCACCGTTTTTCAGGAGACATTTGCTGAAATCATCACGTCCAGGAGGGGTGAGATGTTCTGTCAACAAGAAATAAAAAAGGAGAAAATACAGCAAAACTACTTTGAGAGAGGCTGTCAGCACTCAGTGTCTTCTTCAGCTGCGGAGTGTTCCAAGTCATTTATTTCTGTGACTCTTTGCCAGCGAGGAAATCAGCGTCAGTGAAATGCTGCTGGTTTTTTTTATGGCCATGTGATGCAGCCCTTTTTTCCGAGGATGCTGAGATGCACTCTTCATACTCGGGGCCTTTGAATTTATGTGCTGTTTCCAGATGCTGAGGAATCGACAGGGCTCAATGATGAACAGGCAGCGTCAGCCCTGCTGCCAATCAAAAAGTTAATAGTCTGTCCATCGAGAAAGGGAAATGACCCCCTGGGCTTTAGCCTGTACGTCTTTCTCGCGCACAACAACTCAAATCCAACTGCTTTTGACTTGTCTGCTTGCATACAGAATGCATGCTTGTCAATTTGAATTCCCTCTTTCGATGCCTATCAGTTATCCACAGATCTTGTTCATTGGGGAACTTTTGCAGCCACCTTTGACACTTCAAAACATAGAAAATGTTGTTAGATCAACTATCCAGAAGATAATCTGTCCCTTTTTTCTTGCCTTTAGCAATTGTTTTTCCGTCCACACCTCTCCGCACGCCTTCATATGTGCATTTCTCAGCTGGAAGCTTAAGGCAGTCTTTGTCAACGTTAAATTGGAAAGTAATCCTGTTATAACCTCGCTGAGGTTATATGTGCGACTGGGTGATTAAAATTACCTCCAAATATTCCAAAGGAGCCATTATTTATTGGTGCATGAAAGACACAAAGGAGAAAGCTGCCCTCTTATTGCTAATAATCAAAAACGCTTTAGAGAACACTATGTATGGTAATGAAAGAACTGTCGATAGCCCTTCCAAATGGCCTGATTTACTAAAACTTTTATGAAGACAGTAAATTTCATGTCTTATTTTCTTGATCCTTCTAAAGAAGGGAACACAGGGAAATCAATAGCTCTCCAACCTGGCCCTGAATTTTGTCAACCTCTAATTATTATCTGGCTTGTGGCGATGATCAGCGAGTAATTGCAACTACTGAGATTCTGATGCCAACGACAGGTCCAATAGAGAATGTCTACATGCAAAGCACTTACCTGGCTTAGTAAAATCTATACAAGAAGGTCACAATCCCATCAGAGATTTTGCTTGACAGTGAGGATGGGTGAAATGCCATTCATATGTGCAAAAATGCATCATTTTGTTGCACGCACTTGATAATTCCCAATTCATTATTTACTTTTTTTCTTTTAATTTCAGTGCTTCTGCTTTTATGTGTGTATGTTTGCATCATGAATCCCATCTAATGTGTCCATTGTTTATGACTTCTGTGGTCATTGGATTTGATGCAGCTCATTTACAAGCAAACAAAAGAGCAGTGTGCAAAAACCCCAACAGCCCCATCCAGTACTATTGATAGTTCACCGGCTGCATCATAAAGCTCGATAATCCCCCCTGACTGGAAGTAAAGTGATGGAATTTGTTTAAATGGCCCTGAATAAATAATAAACAGAAACATTTTGATGTTTATGCAATTTCAAAGTTGCAAATTGCAATTATAAAAAAGAACATATTTCACACAAATATTTTGTGTTTCTTGGTCAGGTGTGTTGTGCTTTGATTATAATGAATGGACATTTGCTGCAAAGTTTTCACTCTATATAATATTTTACAGTAATATTCAATTTTTTTAGACTTTCTGAGACTTCGATTGTAGCTCTTCAGACTTCAATGCAGAAGACCAAAGGTTCAAATTCTTTAATTAACTGTAGGCATAGTTTTTCTAACTTTAGCCAATCATTTCTGTTTCCTCCAGTTCCATTCCATTCCAATAAATGCTGTTCAGTTGGCGATGTGCAATTACAATTACAAAACTTGAAAGGAGCCCTACTATGCTTTTTGGGGTTTCCCCTTTCCTGTAGTTAAATATGTTAAATAAAATCCCAAAGTTCCCTCTAGAGCAGGGATGGGCAAATGGCGGACCGAGGGCTGCATGAGGCCCACACCTCCTCTTTTTGCGGCCCTCAGATCAATTTAGAAAACAATGTAATTAATTAATTTTTTTAATTTTTAAAAAAAAAATGTGTACTTGTAGTACTGATACTACGTGATTTCGTTCGGCAGCCAAATACCGCAAAATAATCTGTGATGCGTTTGTGTGTATTGTGTTTGTTTCCCGGGGAAAACACTCACGAGAAACACCTGCTGTTGTAATGCCTGCTGTGACGTTAAGTTACCGCTTGTAATTATTATACAAGCTTCAAAGTTGTATTTATCATCTGAATTTGGCGAAACAAGTTTAATATTATAAAAGCCAAGATTTTGTTTATTTGAAATCAGATGAAAACAAACTGTAACGGACCCTGCCGTGTTATCTATGATTACTATACGCCTTGCATTCATAATGTCAGCGGGAGGGGGGGGAGCGGCGCTGCTGAAGAGCAGAGTGCGAGTGAGAGCTGCCTGTCTTCTTCCCTTTACAAGCTTCAAAAATGTATTTATCGTGTGATGTTGGCAATAAAAGTGTAATATTCTGAAAGACTTATTTAAAATCAAACAGAACACCCGAACCCCGAAAAACTATTTTTTTACACAAATCCACTTTTATTTTTAAATGAACCGTTGCGACTTCCGACTGATTTCGATAGAGCGGGTCACATATTAGCACAGCCCTCTGTGGATGTCAGCATGAACAAGAGAAAGGTATCTGAGGAAAATCGTGTTTTCCAAGAAAAGTGGGAGAAAGAATATATTTTCACTGAATTCAGTGGTAAACCACAATGTTTAGTATGTTTGTTGCAGACCGTTGCTGTAATGTAAGTAAGCAACTTGAGCCGCCACTACTACTAATTTGTGTGTGTGTGTTCCAAGTGAATCTGCGGCACCCTGGTGGCCAGTACATACATTATGTGGCGCCCACCACCATCCAAGTTGCCCATCCCTGCTCTAGAGGGAGTTTCTACACACTCCCCCCTGCCTGAAACGCCTCCATTGAACTCCTTTGTTTACTTCCTTATTACATTACATGTCATTTGTTTGACGCTTTTATCCAAAATTACTTACATACATTCAGTACTGTGGGCAATCCCCACAGGAGCAATTTGGGGTGAAGTGTCTTGCCCAGGGACACAACGATATGCTGACTGCAGTGGGACTCGAATTTGCTATCCCCTGATTCGAAGTCCATCATACTATCCACTGAGCCACAGCCTCACTTATCATAGTGACATTTTTTTTTTAATTTTTTTTTTTTTTAGTCAGTTTATTGAACATGTCAGAAACAAAAACATACAACAATAATATATATATATACATACTCTTTGTTTTCCCTTTTTCTTTCTCACTCAAATTAATAATTATAACAAAGTACAAAAAAATAACATAATAAATAACAACACAAAAAAAAAAAAAAAAATTTCTCAAAAATGTCCTGTCATGTTTCAACAGGGCAAGAAGAAGCTTAAAAACTTTCTGGTCCTACCCCCTCTAGCATATATTTTTCTTATAAATAAAATATTAGGTCATCGTCATCAGCGGACATGTCTTGTTTTTGCTTTTTGACAAACAATCAGAAAGAAATTACGTTTACAATAAA